TTGTTAATCACACTTGTTCTTGGAGATTGACATTCTACAGACTTCTACAATTTGTTGTCTCCATTACCCAGGTGTGATTGTTCTTATTTTTATTACCTTCATCCTTTATGTATTGGTGGCAAAGGAGGTGTTTTTCATCCCTAGTGTGATTCTAAGGAGATGTTCATCCTTAGTGAGATTCTAAGGAGGTGTTTTCATCTTTTGATTTGTTCAAATGAGGTTTTCATCCCTAGTGTGATTCTAGAGAGGTGTTCATCCTTAGTGAGATTCTAAGGAGGTGTTTTTTCATCATTTGATTTGTCTAAAAGAGGTGTTCATCCTTAGTGAGTTTTTAAGGAAGTAATTATTTTTTTAATTAGTTTACTTTTTACTTGTTATTCTGTTGAGTTTATTGTAATTTGTAAATTTGAATTTGTAAGATAGTGAATTGGGAGTCACTCTTGTGTTAAGAGTTGACTAGAAACTGGATGTAAGGTTGACTATACCGGAACTAGTATAAATATTTGTGTGTTCTTCTTTTTTCCTTATTTTTTTCTCTTTTCTTAATTATATTATAGTTTCCGCTTTATCTGTGTTCAAACAAATTATTGACTCACAAATAATTTTTTAATTTGACATCTATTTTAATTTGTGCATCTATTCACCCCTCTAGATGTTATTTGTCTAACAAATATATATATATATATATATATATATATATTAAAATTTAATTTATATAAAATAATTATTGAATTAAATTAATAAAGTAAATAAAATTAAAATTAATTTTCTATAAAAAATAAACTAAATAACTTATACCTTTTTTTATAAATAGTATTAAATTGTAAAAAATATTTTAAAAAAATAATGTAATTTTTAGTATATATTTTAATATAATAATTTTTTTTTCTCGAAGGAGAGAAGAAATATGATACCATTAATTGCATATATGTTTATTTACTTTCAAATCAGCGAATTTCAATTGAAACAAACGTGGTCAGTTTTATATAATAAATGATTGCATTTCTCCTAATATAATAAATGACGTAAAACAAATACAAGCTCACATATACAAGCTTATTATCTTTTTTTTACTAATTAATTTAATTATTATTATTTTATTAATTAGCTATTTATCTATAATAATTTTAATATTATTTATTTATTTTTAATAATTTGACAATAATACATATATATATATAATGAATGGATATTATGTTATAAAATGTTTAAATTAATAAAAAATTATAATTTAATACATTATATTTAAAAATAATTTGCATAATTAATTTTGTGGGTTACAACTTGTATCTTTTTCTATCCATCTTCTCATCTTAATTTGTCTCTTGTAAGAGGAAACTTTGTATTATAATCTTATGTAATGTTTATTTAAATATTATCTTTATTTATTATGATTTGAAGGAACTATAATTGAAAAAAAAATCAATTACTAGATAAATTGGCAACCAAAATCTCTATGTTCAATTCATAACGTTATAAAGTTATCAATACTAATTTGTCATCCATTTATTTTACGATTTGAAAAATTAGGTGCATGAACCAAATAACTATTTAGTCCAACACTACTTAATTCTATTAATATTTTCTTTTTCTTTCTAGACTACTTAATTATATTAATATTTACATTTATGTTAGAAATAAATATTAATATTTATCATGTATATTAAGTGTATTAGAGGAAATAAATTAATAATTTTATATTGGATTAACTCAGTTTTATATGGAAAATAATTATGCATTATCAATTAAATTCTAAAATATGCAAAGAAGATATATATAATTATAGGTTGGTTAAATCAGAATGTGAAAATATAAAGGGATAATTCAAATGTTATTTTAAAATAAAAATATACTACAACAATAATCAAATAACAATACAATAAATAATATTAAGACTTTTCAAAATAAAATGAAAAATATCTAAGTATATCATATTTGTTAAAGATAAGAAAATATTTTCCTCCCACCATCATGTTTATGTACAAAAAAGAAATAAACAATATGCCGCAAAGACTTACAAGAAAAGTATTTGGACTAAACAATAGAAGAATATCCAAATATGTTTGAGAGAAAATTTTATGCAAAAAAGAATATCAAAGGAATATCATATTATTTAAGAAATATTTTTATAAATAAAATAAAGGTTAAGAAATTTGTAGTCACATCATGAAGCCTATAAAAATTATAATTATTTTCAGTTAGGTTAATTAGCCTAACAAAACTTAGTGACTTTTATAAATAAAGTGTCTCTATAGTATTTGAGTAATTCAATTGTATAATTCAATATACCCCTTTCTCTTGATACTCTCTTAATACTTATTCTTAGACCCATTTCTGTTAACAGTGGTATCAAAAGCTTCAAGATTCATGAAGAAGAAGAATAATGATGATGGTAGAAATTGGATTGTATGACAATATTCCGATGTTCAATAGTATGAACTTGAATGAGTATGATAATTGGTGTGTGAAAATGAAGGTCATTTTATATTTTCAGGAAGTCTTAGATGTAGTTTTGCATGGATATGAGAGGATACCGAGAACCCCACTGAGGCGCAGCGTGCAACATTTCAAAAGAAAAAGAGACGTGATTGCAAAGATATATTTTACATTCATCAGTATGTTGATGAAAACAATTTTGAGAATATTTCGTTTGCAAAATCAACGAAAGAAACATGTGATATATTGATGCACAGGAAGAAAGGTTGAAGGCGGTGCGACTTCAAACCTTGTCTCATCAGAGTATGAGTTATTATAGATGGAGACGCAAAAAACTACCCAATAATACTTTGCAAGATTGCAGTCTATCACGAACTTAATGAAGTTTTGTGGTGAAAGCTTAAAAGAACGAACGATGGTGGAGAACGTGTTTAGAACCCTCAATGTTAAGTTCGACATAATTTTTATAGTTATCAAAAAGTTTAAGGATCTCAATTTATGGAAACTTGATGAACTACAAAAATTATTAGAGGCTCGCGATCAACGATTACGTGAGAGAGCATAAGAACGATCTAACAAAAAATAGGCGTTGTTGATGAAATAAAACCAAAAAAATGAAAGAAATCAAGAAAATTTGAACGAGAGAGGTCAAGGAAAAGAAAGAAGTATAAACAATGGTGGATGAAACTTATAAGAGAAACAAGAAAGTTCTTTACAATCGAGAGGTGGCAAAGGCAAGAACTCACACGGGAGAAGTGGTCGATCAAACTTTGGTACGAGTAAGAAGAGTGTACAATGTTATAACTGTTATAAGTATGACCATTAATGATGAATTTTGCTATTAATGATGCACAAAAAAAAGACTCAGAGATTAAATGTTATTAGTGGTGACGAAGACGAAATCAGTGAAGACTTTTGGTGAATTTTGGTATTTGGATACTGGTTGTTCGAATCATAAGTCATTTCATAAAAATTGTTTCGTCGATCTCAATGAAGGTGTTAAATCGGAGGTTAAATTTGCATATAGTTCGATAATGCATTGTGAAGGGAAAGGAATATAATGATTAAAAGAAAAGATGACAAATCTACAATAATTTCGGATGTGCTCAATGTCCTAGCTATAAAACACAATTTGTTAAGTATCGGTCAACTTATTTAGAAAGAACATTTGGTCGATTGAAGATCGAAGGAACAAATATTGTAATCGTCAATAAGAAGAGGTACGAATTTTGAAGACACCTTTGAGTAAGAATAAAATTTTTCGAGTTGATATTCTAGTATCGAATAAGTTGTGTTTTGTAACAACAGTCTCTAATGTCAATTGGTTGTGACATTTAATGTATGATAATTTTGGCTTTGATAATTTAAGCGAACTTGCAGAAAAAGAGATGATGATTGGACAATCTCGAGTCCAAAAATGTAAGGAAACAAGTTAGAAATTCCTTTATGGTGCATATCGAGATCACAAGTAAGAATGTGTTGAAAGTTATCTACATCGATGTGTGTGGACATGTTCCTTCACTAGGTGGTAGTAGGTATTTTGTAACATTCAACGATGACTATAACAAGAATATCTAAGTGTACTTGCTCGAGAATAAATCAAAATATTTAAGCATTTAATTAATTTTAAATTGATGGTTAAGAAATAATGTGGTAAAATTATTAAAGTATAAACATGGAATGATGATGAATAATACAATAATAATAAATTTGCATCGTTTTGTAAGAGAAATGATATTTTGCATAAGAAATCAAATAATTTTGTAACCTAAAATTTGTTTTTATTTTTTAACTTTTCATTTTATATTTTGTTGATTTCTTAATAACAAAAATAAAGAATAAATATTTAAATTATTATTCCCATCAAATAATTATTATCATTAGAAAATTACTCTTATTTTAATTATTTAATACTTTACTATTGGTTTAATTTCGATCTTAACAAGTATTAATATAAAAAAATTAAGATTAAATATAAAAAATTTAATTAATCAAAAATAAATTTTAAAATATTTATTTTCTAAAAATGAGTAAAATTATTTTACATGACGACATGCGTTAAATATATTGATAAAATCTCTATACACTAAAGAAAATTTAATTTTAGTTCCCGAATGGAAAATATTTATTAAATATTTGAAAACTTTTGCATTTGGTTATCCCTTGGGACCAAAAAGGTGGGTGTTAGGAAAAAACTGGAAGTCTATTAGTCGGGAAAAAGAATAGTGAAAATTGATTATAATTTCGAGAAAAAATAATAGAAAAATCATCTCATCCCAAGTCATTAAATTGCCAAGTCAGCAATCCGCAACGCAAATTGAGTTAAAGTATCATCAAGGCCGTCTATTCTTGACGTTTCGTAGGGACTCAAGTTGATAGATTAGAAACCCACGTCACTGATCCGCGTCTAACCTCGATAGCCAATAAGAACGCGAGAACGTTTGTCTATATTAACAATCTTGTCAAACTCTTTTCATTCACATCTTCAACCACTCTTTGTTCAAGCGTTTCGAATCCCCAATTTGAAACCCTAACTTTCTTCAGAACACTAAATTCTCAAAAAAATGGCACCGAAGGGAGAGAAAAAGCCAGCGGAGAAGAAGCCCGCAGAGGAGAAGAAGTCGACGGTGGGAGACAAGGCTCCTGCGGAGAAAAAGCCAAAAGCCGGAAAGAAGCTTCCGAAGGAGGGAGGAGCGGGAGGTGACAAGAAGAAGAAGAGAAGCAAGAAGAGCGTGGAGACATACAAGATATACATCTTCAAGGTTCTGAAACAGGTTCACCCTGACATAGGTATCTCTAGCAAGGCTATGGGCATCATGAACAGCTTCATCAACGATATATTCGAGAAGCTTGCTCAGGAATCTTCTAGACTTGCCCGATACAACAAGAAACCCACCATCACCTCAAGGGAAATCCAGACTGCTGTCAGGCTTGTGCTGCCTGGAGAATTGGCCAAACATGCCGTCTCTGAGGGAACCAAAGCGGTGACTAAGTTCACTAGTTCTTAAACGGACTGTTTTACCCTTTTGATTTTTGGCTCCTGTTATCATGCTTTTGGATCCAAAACTTGTTTATGTTTCTGTAGGAGTATGTTTTAGTTTGATCTTGTAGTTTTTATATAATTATAATTTAAATAATTTGTAAGTGAACTAATTGGGATTAGTGGTATTGTGTATGGATTTGGCCGAATGATATTTTTATTTGATTGTTTCATTTGCATATTTTGTTTATTTGTGTTACTGTTTGCTACTTTAGATAAAAGAGTAATTCCTCTTCTGAATTGCTCTGCCATTTTTGACTTTTGAATTGTAATTTGTTGGTAGTTTTAGTTATTTTTTTTAATTTGTCAGTCTTTCTAACTCTAAGATGGCTAAATATTTTTAAAACTGCTATTTCTGAAGAATATTTAAAATCTAAATCCTTCATATCCCAATATTTATTCTGTGTTAACGAGAAAAATATGTAAACATAAATTGAACAATGCACATTTCTTACTGAAATGGAAAATTGAACGAAGAAAAGTTACAATTATTTGAATATTGGTCTTTCTATTGTGTAAAAAAAGCCAACCTTGATAGGAATTTATGTTTACTTTTAATTTTTGTTTTGTTAAAAATATTATTGATTTATAACTTTAACTGATTAATATTCTCATTGTAAGGTTGGTTTATCACATTTATTAGAGTAATAATTTTTAAGAATATATAAACAAAAAGATCTCATAAAATAATTAATATTTTTTGAAACTCGGAATTTTAAATAAGAAAACAACTATAGAAATAAAAGATTATCAAATTTAAGTGAAAAATCAACGAGTCTGAAATTTAAACATAATTTGATATTTGTTTACAGAAAAAAAATTAAAAAATTGGATAAAAATCTTAAATCATAAAAAGTATTAAATGGAATAAAATAAAATTGACACAGTTTTTAGGATAGATAAAAAATAGAGATGGTATTATAACAAGATTACTACCTTTTTTTTTTTTTTTTTTTAATAATAAATTAAGAATTTAATGTTTACATGAAATTGAAAATTTTAATACAACTTATTGAAATATAATTTCATAATTAAATCCGCGCGTAAATTAACTACTAAAACAAGACTATTTTAACAACGCAATATTATAATTGAATTCTAAACCATGTTTTTAGTTTTTATTTTATGTTTTTAAACAACTGAAAATAATATTATTTTTAACGTTATTTAAATTTAAGATAATTTATATTTATATTTCTTAATATAATATATTTATTTAATAACAATATTATTAATATATTTTAAATAATAATATTTTATATTTGTTAATATAATATAATTATCAAATAATAATAATAATTTTAATATTATTTAAAATTTTAGATTTTCACATTTTACACGTATTAATATAATATTCTAATGTTATATATTTATGTAATTTTAATTATTAAAATAATATAATTATTTAATTAATTTTAATATTATATAGTTATTTAACGTATTTTAATATAATATAATTATTTAATATATTATAGTCATTTAATTTATTTTAATATAAATTAATAATTTAAAACCTAGAAAAATAAAAAATGTAAAAGGATAAGAAAAAACTACGGTATGAAAATAATTTTTTTCCCAAATATAATTGTTATAATCATTTTCTATGATATATTTTACTTAGGAGTTATGTTTATCTAATATTATATGCTTTTTCTTGAGAAGAGATTTGGTCAAAATGTTATGTCTATACTTTTAGATATTAGTTATGTTATATTGGTAAAATAATTTCAACTCAATAATTCAATATATTATTAAAAAAAATTAATTAACTATTAACGTCGAGTTGAAAACAAAAAAAAGTTGAATAGTAAACTGGAATAAACCCATTGATCAATTAATTTATACATTATTATTTTAAACCTCAAATATATTAACCAAAATTTGATGACAATTGTATTTGAAAAAAAAATTATTACCTAGATATTTTATTTTATTTTTTAGGTTTTCAATTATTATTTTATACTAAAGTAAATTAAATAAAGTTATAAAATTTTATCTTACAATAATTTATTCTCGCTGGAGTCTAAATATATTTTTTTACAACCTATTTAAAAGAATTGAAGATTAATTAATTACTAACATCTATATCAAATTGAAAACCAAAAAATTAGTTGAATAATTTGTAGGAATCAAACACAAAGATTGATCAGTTAATTTAGACACTATTAATTTAAACCACTAATATATTAATCCAAATTTGATGACAAAGTTGAAAAGAAAATTCTTTCATTACTTATCTTTTATTTTTATTTTCTTAGGTTTTTAATTATTATTATATACTAAAATAAATGAAATGATTACAATATATAAATATATACTAAAGTCATAAAATTTCTTGGTATAAAAGTTTATTCTTCCTAAATATATTTTTCTTTAAATAACCCCATCAATGTTTCATAACACAAATAATAGATTAAATAAAAACTCATAAAAAAATATTATGTCAATAACCTATTTTGGAGATCACACAACACCAACAATTAAACACTATAACATCCAAAACTGCAACATTTAAACCATAAAAACACTAAACCAAATAAAATGGGGCAATAAAATTGATAACTGATAACTGGTACAATAGAGTATGAACTGGTGGTGGCTGACAAGAAACTGAGGTCAGACTTGATGATATCAAGGTAGGGATATTCCCCATGAATTTGAAATTTTGTTTCTGTTAGGGTTTGATTAGTAGTATGACTTGATGGTGGCTTTCAAGAGAAAAAAGACTTAGGTTTTATTTATTGTATATTTATGTATACGATTTACTGTTTTTTTTGGCATGAACTTGAAATGTTTTGTTTTAGGGAGACATTTTTTTTATTATAAATGGAGAAATTACTCTCAATAATATGTAATAACTTATTTAAAATTAATTTTTTTACGTTAATTTATTTGTAAATAATAAATTAGGGATATTTTTATGGAATTAATTTTTTTTCTATGATATAACTTGTTGAAATAAAATTCCAATCAAACCCGTTTGTAATGAAATTACAAAATAAAACAATTTAACTTAGATTGTATTTCGTACACTTATAAGTGGTCGATCACCCATTAATAAAAGAAAAATAGTTTAAATATATTATCTTTTCTTAATTTATATATGCGTCTTTTAAAGATAAAATTATGATGAACGAGAGTTTTAAAATGGACAATAATACCTCATGAGAATCAAATTGAACGATGTTATCATAGCATATATGAGACTGAGACACTCTCATTCCTTAAACGGAGCATTGTCATTCACCATGGGACGGAGAGTAGAATCTCACTCTACTCATATATACTCCTTAGTCTTTGACTGAGATATTATGTTCCGGTATATTCATGAGTTTGAGATGACTTAGTAGTTAAGACCAAAGATAATTTATATATACTTTATTCCCTAACCCACCAAAATGCATTTTAAGGACAAAATGAAAAAACTCTAAGATAAATAATAAGTTGACAGTCGGATTTAATCATAAGGATGTTATCCTAATGTATAATGACAAATTTTAACCATTAATTTCGGAAGAACAAATCATATATTATTAATAAATAATAAATAAATATTTAAAAAAATTAAAAATTAAATATATATATATATATATATATTTAATAATCATTAAAATAAATAAAAAATAAATACTAATAAATTTTACAAAATTAAAAAATTATAAATATTAATATAAATTACAAAATTCCCGGCCTCGTTATTGGATTCAATTAATCCTTAATTGTAGGAATAGAATATAACTTGACAACATAAATTATATAAAAATCAGTAAATGTGGCAGGTGTCTGACTATGGATGGTCGCGTGCTTCGCTAAAAACTCGGACCAAACTTGATGATATTAAGGTAATGATATTTATGTATACGACTAACAGTTCTTGGGTTGACATAACATATTGTATAACTCACGCCCTTCTCATTTTCATGCCATCGAGCATATGCATTTTCTCTTTATTGCATCCCTTCTTTTACCGTAAGGACAACACTATGAACTGCTAACTGATACGATAGAATATGAACTAGTGGTGACTGACAAGACAAAAAAGAAAAAAATAAAAAAAGGTTGTTCTATTTTATTTTTTCTTTCTTGGATGGGAATCGGTGTACCCTAAAAGGTCCTAGAATATGTTTATTAATCATATGTCATTATATTATTAAACGTCGCACGGTCAATGCTTCACCGGATTAAAAAAAAATATAACCATAATAATATTTTAAAATGATCAATTTTTTTATTTAATTAAAAAAAGAATATTTATTTATTTATTTAAAATTAATTCATAATCTATTTATATAAAATAAAATTAAAAATATCATGATGAAAAAAAATTATATCTAAAATCTATTTTTTTAAATAACTTTATCAATATTTCATAAGGAAAATAATTAAAACACTAAAACAAATAAAATGAGATAATGAAATAAAATCGACATAATTTCTAGAATAGATAAAAGGTTAAAAGAAGATTGATACTACACCAAGACTACTAGATATTTTATAAAAGTTCGCCGGAAATAAATTTTTATTAATTTTCATACCAATTTTATTAACGTCTAATTTATTCCTAGATAATAAATTGGAAATTTAATATTCACATTCAATTGATTTTTTTTTCTATGATACAATTCTTTGGTAACAAAATTTCCAATTAAAGTGCATAACTTAATTAGGGAACTAGACAATTTTAATGTAGTAATCAAATTAAGACTGTGAGGTAATTGAATTCTGAACCATGTTTTTAGTTTTTATTTTATTTTATGGTTTTAAATATTTGAAAATAATATTATTTTTAATGTTATTTGAAAATTTAAATAATTATATTTTTTATTTCTTAGCATAATATATTTATTTAATAATAATATTTTTAATACTATTTTAAATTTTTAAATAATAATATTTTATATTTGTTAATATAATATATTTATCAAATATTAAAAATAATTTAATTGTTATTTAAATATTTGGATTTTCACATTTTACATAATATAATACAATATTATTAATATAATATAATTATTCAATTTATTTTAATATAATATAATTATTTAATGTATTTTAATATATTATAATCATTTAGTTTATTTTAATATAAAATAATAGTTAAAAGCTTAAGAAAATAAAAAAATGAAAAAAATAATAACAAAAATAAATTACGGTACGAAAGAGAATTAATTGATACATGATCTTGAATATATAAAAAAAAAAACAAGAATAGAATTGGACAATAAGGAGATGAGATAAAAAAAATAAAAATTATTGGTTCATTTAATTTTTTGAGCTACATTCAATTTTTAGCTTAAACCAATTGAGTATACCACCATAATAGAATTCAAGTTATATATATAAGTAAAAAAATATTGATTTACCAAAAAGAGAGTCTTGGTCCTCTACCACACTAGTGACTTTAACCTAGTCATTAAACACAGTATTATACACTAGTACTCACTAAAACATTTTTGTGAATATTCTTTTAGGTATATAACTCCTCGATATGGAGTAATAATTTGAACTTTCAATGTACCCTGTATCGTCCAACTAATATTTTCTTTTAAAAAATAAAAGTACTTAGTAATCTTAATTAACTTGTGATGTGAGTCAATAAATTTTGAGTTTTGTGAATTTTTTATACCTTCATGTATTATCAGTGAATCCTCTCTTTTATTAAGACATATTCTAAAATCTTAGAATTAAATACAGTTCATTCCCATTCTGACATCTTTTCTTGAGGGTTAAACAAAAAATTCTTCGTTCAATTTACTAATAACACTCCATATATTATGAAAATATCGACTGACAATTTCACTAGATCAATGAAAGAAAAATGACATAATCTGATTTTTAACATTATGCCCTAACATGTGTAAATATTTAACCACTTGTTCTTCTAGGTCTATTTATACGCATCTTTGACTATATTAGTAGCTCTTAATTGTTGACACAATTTAAAGAAGGCCTCAGGTCCCATATGAATGCAAAAGATAGGACATCAATTCAAATCGATGACGATCATTTTCAGGATCTAATAAGTTAGTGTTGATACTAATGGTAGATATTATATCTAACATATATAATGCATGAGAAACACTACACAGTAATGTTAGTGTCCCAACTTTTACATCTTTATTTGCTCTTGAACATGATATATTATGTTCATGTTTACCCCAAGAACATTAATACTCATTTGTTCTTCATCTTCTAAATCCATATAATTTTTTACTCCATTTTCCATGACGAAAGAACAATTTTTATGTAGACAAAAATATTTTACTTTAATTAATTATATTATGATAATGTTAATAATAAAATTATTTTTAAATATTTGATATTGTTTTAATTTTGTATGTCCTAAATAGATAATTATACCTTTAACTTAAATATAATTTAATTAAGAAAAAAAATATACCCTCAAATCAATAAAAGTTATTTACTATAATTTTAACATTTTTTCCATCTAAATTTTTTTATTTACATAGATAAATAATTACTTAAATTTTATTTTTATTTACTATTAATTGTATAATTTAACTTCTCACTCCATCTCTAAGTTGAAAAAAATTGGGTGTACTTATTTACTAATGATTAGAGAATAATTATTTTTATTTACTATTTATTTAATTTCTCGTCTTATTAGCTTTTAAAAAATGGGTACTACTAATTATACTATACCATTGTTTTTTTTTAATTCAATTACTCTTTACTAACCTTCATACTTACCTAAACATATATGCCTAATTTTCATACCTACCTAATTAGGTCCCTTTTTTTATATTTATCTTAACATACATGTCTAAAATTAACAAATATTTCTCAAATATATTTCTCCAATTATATTCCCTAATTTACGATATGCAAACTTTCACAAGACATCTAGGAAAAATATGCATTTTCTGGAATTTTGTAAGAATTTCAGCAAGCATTAACAGAAAATATGCAAACACTCACAAGGCATCAAGGGATCACATGGAGGGAGCACGTTCACAAGGCACATAATTGATTATGTGCACCTCCAGTGTGACACACCTTGACCATTAATCTTGGAGGGCTAAATAATAAATAAATATAAAAAGGTGAAAAAAGATGAAAGGATAAGAGAATAAAATTATAAATGTATAAATAAATATATTAAATAATCATTAAATTTAGGGACCAAAATAATAAATTATATAAGAATTAGGGGAAACTAAGAGGATAAAATTAAAAATATATAAGTAAATATATTAAATGATTATTAAATTTAGGAGATCAAATCATAAATTATATGAGAATTATAAAACTTTGGGAGTTATAGTCCTTTTCAATTTCAAACAAGATCTACTACTGTACGCCTCGTTAAGAACAACTATTTAATCGATTATATCCTCTTTCATAACTAATGATTATGTTTTCTAGTTTAACATGTTTATCACCGACCCTCCATGTAACCAATTTAAATAATACAATAATTCAATAACAAACACATTGCACAAGTGAATTTACATGTTAGATGATTAAAAAAAAAAAAACAAATTGCAAAGAAGGAGAAAAAACTAATTCGAGTGGGTGGACGATGGAGATCTTGAACGTCCCTGCAAACTCCTCTTTGTTCGAAAAAAATCGCTAATATGAATAGAGGAAGAATGAAATCAGAACCTATGATACTTCTTGTAAACAATTCAAACAGAAATACAAATAAATTGTATAAAAGAAAAAATATGGACTGGAGTGGGTGGACGATTGATATATTAGTGGTAAAATCGTTGATGAGAATAGAGGAGGAATAAAACTGCAATCTTCAATGCGATAATGAATATATTTATACACTTAGAAGACAATGAATCATGAGATGCTATTTATCGTATGAATAGTGTAGGCCAACATTGCATGACCATGTACAGTATTTTATTACAACTGTGTCTCGAGCTATGGTATCACCAACAATATATATTGTTGCTGCAGAGTTGGAATCTATGCATGTGTAGCTTTGTAAGATCGTGAGATAAAGAAGGGATAACATGATTATTTTGAACAATTTATATGTGTTTCTTTGCAGACGGAGTTTCATACCATTCAACTCTCCACTCTCATTTCCTCTTAGATATAATTAGTCAATGTAAACACAATTGACACTCTCAATTTTACTCTCCCAAATTTTTCACTACAATAAATCAATAGAAGGTTACAAGACATAAATGTGCGTGTATTTCTGTATTTTCTTTTTCTGCACAAATAATATAAAATTGGAACCAACATAGAAAAATATTAGATAAGAGGAAAAGTTCATGGATATCCAAGTCAAAGTTCTTGCCAACTACTCCTGGAGATTCTTACTAACTCATGATTATAATTAGGAAGGAAAGTAACACAATATGGAAAGAAAGGGAAAAGAATAGTGATGATGCTGCACGAGGTATCATCCCAACAAACAATGCACAAAATCCGCACTTTGTCTTGCTTTTTGAAATCGTTGGACTGCGTTAACCTCTGTTCCACAACGACAAATTTCTATTTCCTCTTCTTTTTATATATTAAAATAAAACATCCCCACCGAAAGTACCCAGCCAACATACACAAATAATTTCCCATTCCTCTACTCTTATTACTCATTTAATGTAATAGTGTTATTATATAAGACAGGTTGGAACTTAACTTTTATTGTGGCTTTTTTTTGTATTGAAGTTGTTATTTTTACAACAATGGTAATGCAAATTGATACTTTCTACCATAATCTGACTACGTGTAGTGAGAGTGAGAAAGTGAACGTGAGAAGAGGATGGACTTTGTTTCGGACTCGTACAGTATTCGTTTTTTCCTCATCCCATATTCATCCAGGACTTTAACAATTAACTCACTTATACCTAATAAATAATGGAAACCAGAAGAGTGGTTTAACAAAATGAAAAAAAGCAGCATGATTTACGAGGTGAGGTGAGTCCGTTGTAACTCAATTTGTTTTGTTTGTATGTGGCATCTTGCTGGAAATCACAAATAGCACAAGCACGTGCAGCAGAGGATTTTCCTGTCGGCTTCTTTTAATTTTTTAATTGGAAATCTTCATATTTGTTAAAATATTTAATGTAAATTGTTTAGTATGATTTATTTATACACTTCAAGACTATTAATTTCAATCCTTCAAAATAATGGATTTTATGTGTCAAGATGTTTAAGTAATAAATTAAGTAATTGAAGTTCTAGACATTCTTTAATAAATACAAGTAATTGATAATTAGTTACATATTATGGACTTTGAATGTCAAATACACTAAATCATATTGTTAGATGAAGTCAGTAAAATATCTAATATTCTAGCCAATTTTTGGTTAAATCATCTGAAAGTTAAAATTGTATTTTAAATTAAAAACAATAATTTTATGATTAAATGCATTCATTCAATCAAACTACTCTAATATCAAATTAGTATTAGAATAGGATTACAATCCTAAAAAAGTACAATTAAATTATTAATTTAACAACACAAATTATTGAGGTTGTGAGTCTTTCTAAACAAGCCACGCACTAAATATGAATATTTCTTATTTCAGCAATTTGAATCTCTTTTATCGTGTTATCCTTGATAAACACATTCTCAAATAATTTTAATATCATAATTTAAAATCATCATCAATAACAATTTACACGTAATTTTAACTAATGGTAAATAACTGAGTACTTAATTATGGTAATGTTATGGCTTATGTGGATGAATTATTGTATTTTATTACTGTTTATAAGATAAAATATTAAACTTTTCTTATTTTTAAATATATTTTTGTGCTTTTGAATTAAATTATAATCCTCTGTCTTGATTTGATCAACCCAGGGGCCCTTTTCCCCTAAAACCAAACAATAATATAATGAAACAATGGAAAGTGAATTGCTGAGTTTTCAGTCCTTCCTCGCCAACCAACAAAAATGGCCATTGTCAACACTCTGCTCTTCTTCATCCTTCTAACGGTAACCACTTCTACCTCCTCACCTTTTCATTTCCAACACCTTAACGTCGAGGAAGAAATCGCAGCGACCAAACTCAAGAACCCTCCCAAACAACCGGACAATTTAGAAGACAAGGACGCAAAATGGAAACTTCAGCTTTTCCACAGAGACAAAATCAACACCGGCCCTCACAAGGATCACACCGCCCGTTTCAACCAACGAATCAAACGGGACGTCAAAAGGGTGACCTCCCTCCTCCATCTCCGCCGCCAAAATAACAGTAACACCTATTCTTACACGGAAGCAGCGGAAGAAGCGTCTTTCGGATCCGACGTCGTTTCCGGCACGGAAGAAGGTAGCGGAGAGTATTTTGTCAGAATAGGAATCGGAAGCCCCGCAACGTACCAGTACATGGTGATAGATTCCGGCAGTGACATCGTGTGGGTCCAGTGCCAGCCCTGCGACCAATGCTACAACCAATCTGATCCCATATTCAACCCCGCCCTCTCCGCCTCCTTCGCCGGGGTATCCTGCTCCTCCGCCGTCTGCGACCAGCTGGACGACGCTGGCTGCCACCAAGGCACGTGTCGGTACGAGGTGGCCTACGGCGATGGCTCCTACACTCGAGGCACACTCGCGCTGGAAACAATCACGCTGGGTCGGACCCTCATCCGGAACACGGCCATCGGGTGCGGGACCTGGAATCAGGGCATGTTCGTGGGAGCGGCTGGGCTTTTGGGCCTGGGTGCTGGACCCATGTCCTTCGTGGGCCAGCTCGGTGGCCAAACCGGCGGCGCCTTTGCATACTGTTTACTCTCTCGCGGCACCGCCTCGTCCGGCTCGCTCCAATTCGGACGCCAGGCAATGCCCCTGGGAGCGGCGTGGGTCCCACTCATTCCCAACCCCTTCTTTCCCAGTTTCTACTACGTTGGACTCTCGGGTCTCGGAGTTGGGGGTTCCAGGCTCAACATATCGGAGGATCTTTTCCGGGTAACTGATTTGGGGGACGGAGGGGCCGTCATGGACACCGGCACAGCCGTCACGAGGCTTCCCACAGTGGCTTACAATGCCTTCCGGGACGCTTTTCTTGCGCAGACCACCAACCTGCCCCGGGCACCGGGAGTGTCCATTTTCGACACGTGCTTTGATTTGAACGGGTTTGTGACGGTTCGGGTGCCGACGGTGTCGTTTCATTTTTCCGGCGGGCAGATCTTGACACTCCCGGCGAGGAATTTTTTGATTCCGGCGGATGACGTGGGGACTTTCTGTTTTGCCTTTGCGGCTTCGCCTTCCGGGCTTTCCATAATAGGGAATATTCAGCAAGAGGGGATCCAGATTTCCGTTGATGGAGCCAATGGTTTTGTCGGCTTTGGACCCAATGTCTGTTAATTAAGAGAAATAAAGATTCTACAACCACCATCCGAATTTTGTTAGTCTTAGGCTCTCTTAGATTCCACACCCAAGTGCATTTATATGTATTATACCTCAAATAAGTGAACAACTAGTCTTAATTATTAACTCATCAATCTCACTGCTAATTTTTTCAGCTGTTCAATTTAGCTACCTGCTGAACGTAGAGTTTAAAAGCAATACTTGTGTGAATCAGGGTGTTTTCCCAATTTTAGTATAACCCTCGCTAGTGCAATTCAGCAAAGGGGCATCGGCAGGGGAATCTAATTACCGTACCCGCCCCACTATTCTCGCTGGTGGCTGTACCAAATTATTGATGCACAAGGATCTAACGTCCATACTCAACACAATCTGTTCAATTTCTGCTCAAACAAAAACAAAATCTAACTATATAATACGATTTTAATATAAAATATCTTATTATATATATAATACAATTTTTATCAATTTCATTTTTAATTAAATTGAAGGTGTAGAGGTAAACTTATAAATGGAAATATAAAAATATTGGTCAAGAAATTAAATCACAATTTTTTTTCAATACAAATAAAAATAATAATAGAGAATAAATAAATTTAGTGACGAGAAATGGTTCCACAATCTTTTTATTTGACGTTTTGATTTTCCCTCTTTTCATGTGGTTAAATATTTCTTTTTCATGTAATGACCATTATTACATCTTTAATTAAATTATTGTTTAATTTATATATTTTATTAAATATTTATATAATGATACATAAATAATAAATTAAGAAGATTTGAACATTATTGTAATGTTTTTTCACTCAAGTTTTTAAAATTTCGCTTAGAGATAAAAAAAAACTATTTACTGAAAGATAGTATTTCGCTCAACTAAGAAAAAAAAAACCATTACCACAATTTTACAAAATGATAAATCGGTTAATTTTTTTTTGGTATTATTGTTTATGGGAGTTTTATACCAATTTTCACGTTCTTTATTATACAAATAGGACTTAACATAATTAATTTGTTACGTACCTTTCATTTTCTTAGTTTTACAAACTTAATTTAAGAGTTTTTGTTTAGTTTTTTTTTTTTTCTAGTTTGAAGTTTAAACTTTTAAATTTCTTTTACATGTGTACTTTTATATTCATATAATTAAATTTAGTTGTTTAATATATCTCTTCTATCTCATATTTGAGTTTTTTTATCTACTTTCTTTATATATTGCAATTTAATTAATTTTATTTATATTTTATTAATACCATAATATTTATTTCAATTATTAAGATATCAAATCTTACTTGATCAAACAACAAATTAAATCTTACTTGATCAAACAACAAATCAAATCTTACTTGATCAATCCTACTTTGAGGCAGCTGAGTGAGTTGGAGTTTGAGTCCCTCAAACAACAAATTAGGAAGGAGATTCGAGATGAGGTGTACTCTGACTTGAAGACAGAGTTATTGAGCTCAATGCGAGTAGAGTTGGCATCTTTGTCCTCTCAACCTTCGTCCCCGCCCGAGAGGCATCCCCGATTCATGTCGGCACAAAGGAGAGTTGTGATGCTCCCGATAGAGGGCGGAGGTTGCTCCTACCTGACACTGTTGACTGTGAGTTGTATGTTGCGGGTCCTCCCGAGCATTTGGTGGCATACGGTACGTATTATATCTTTGACATGTATTTGGTACACTCGTTAAGCATTATATAGTCTAAAATATTTTATCATTTGTTTACCTTAGGGAAAATGTATGCATTGGGGTCAACCATCCACCACCAGAGTATTGGACATGATATGATAAGAGTGGTGGTTGTAGATGTCCGGGATGCTGCTGCCCCAATCCCTATTCCCACTGAAGAGGTTCAAACAGTGGGACAGGCACCAGGAAATTTTATCTTATGGCCAGTTTCATTAACAAGACCCATCCCAACACATGCACAGGTTGTGTCATGCATTTATCCCTTTTACTTATTATTTTTTGATAGGTTGATGTATATTAATGTTATTTATTTTTGGTACTTGTATAGAAAGAGGCTGAAAAAGCAAAGGAAGTTGTGCATGAATCACCACCACCACCGACTGCTTTACAACAACTCGGTGCACTAGCAGCGACTATCAGGACCACTCCCATACAGTTAGATATGCCACCCGAAGTCGTATGCAGGACCCAGACGATCCCTTTTTTCTTACTCCAAAGGGATATTTTTGATCTTCTCGCTGGTACTGATATGCTATGTGTATCAGTGTTGCAGCTTTGAGAATTGTAAGTATATTTACATATTTTTTATATTCTCACTGGTACATTATTTTATAACTTTATTTATTTTCAATGTTGAAGGTATTTACATCGTTTGTGTGTTGAGAGGAAGATTGCCTTTATCTATGGATTTGTTGACCCTGTTGCCATTCAGTCCATTGGGAATAAAGCTGAAGAGGTGCAAACGTACTTAATAGAGACATTTCAAAATGGGGGCAAAGAAGTCTACTTAGCACCTTACTTGCATCAGTAAGTATACATCTTATAAATTAATGAACATTTATGTAAAACTGAAATTTTACTAATATTATTTCAACGTGCAGGGGTCATTGACAACTCATAATCATTGTTCCTCAGCAATTTGTTGTGATTCTCTTGTGTTCATTACACAAGAAACCAAATGATTTGGATATTAGAAAGCACATAGACGCGTAAGTTTGGTTTTTTAATTGATTTTTTAATTGTTGTATCATATGTGCACTTACACCAAAATTATTTGTCCTTTTGTAGAGCTTTGGAAGCTCAACTAAGGTTGCAAGGCCTTCCATCTCATGTTAGAAAGAAGTTGACGTATATTGCACCAAAGGTGACCAAACACCTCTTATTGTTGTTCAATTTGTCATTTAAAGTTAAACTGACATGTATTTAACTTGTAGTGTCCACGCCAACCGGGAAGCCATGAGTGCGGGTATTATGTGATGAAGCACATGCACACCATCGTAGCCAAAAATATTATGGGCTCATGGAGGGAGGTAAATATACTATAATTAAGTCAAATATGCCAATTATGTTTCTAAATCTGAAATGTTTCAATATGTAGGCATTTACAGACTCATCTCCAATGAAGATTGAAGTGTTAGACGATATTAGAGAGCAGTGGGCTTCTTCCTTCTAAGTATTCAATCTTCATAGCAAATTTGACTTGTAACAATTTTGATTGAATTGATTTAAGTTAGCAAATTTACATTCGTTTAAGTAAATGAACTGTCTGGAACTGAGGTACATATATTGATTTCAATATGTTTCATATGTACATATCTGTTGGAACTATATATGAACTGTGCATATCTGTCTGTACAAGTGTTTGGATCTGTGAATATTTGTCTGGAACTGTGATGAATAGGCAGGTCTACTCGAAGAAAGGTAGCATCTGTGAAGAAAATGCAGATTTTTTTTTTTAAAATAACACTTTCTACGTTGGGTAATGGCATAACCGACGTAGAAAGTTTAACATTCTATGTCGGTTATAGGCATAACCGACATTGATAACACATACAATCACGGTTACTGTTAACCGATATAGATACTTGAGTTATAAAAAGTTAGAAAGTAAGACTTTCTATGTCGGTTATCAGTGTTAACCGACATAGAAAGTAATATGACAGGTCAGAATTTGTTATGATCGATCAAAATACCCTATGAACGATCAGAACCAGTTATGACCGATCAGAATAGCTCATAGAAAGTAAGCCTTTCTACGTCGGTTCCCTGACTAACCGACGTAGAAAGTCTTACTTTCTACGTCGGTTATCAGTTTTAACTGACATAGAAAGTAATATGACAGGTCAGAATCAGTTATGACCGATTATGATAGCTCATAGAAAGTAAGTCTTTCTACGTCAGTTCCCTGACTAACCGACGTAGAAAGTCTTACTTTCTATGTCGGTTATTAGGAACCGACGTAGAAATACTTACTTTCTATGTCGCCGCTTTAACCGACGTAGAAAACCCATTTTAACCGACGTAAAAAACCTTTTTTACAAATTCATGAATTTGTAGTACTTGATATAAGGAGAAAAAATTATTTATCTTGAATATTAAGTGAACATAACGCAACGAGTCTGGGTGATGTCATTAAAGAAAGAAATAGAACATATGATCATAAGGGTAAAATTATTTATTTTCTACGACTTCTATAATGGGTTTAAAATTGAATTACTTCTTATCTTACCGAATAATATGAAGAGAAGATATAACGATAAAAACTATAATTCTTTAAAAAGTTGATTATGTATTTAAGATTGGAGGAATTTGTGTTTGGATTGGAACAGGGAGGGAGTAAATTTTATTTAATTTAGAGTGGATTGTGAGGTTGTTTAAATTTAGAGAAAGATAATAAATTTAAAAGAATTTGAGTAAACTTATATAACTAATATTATCGATGTGACTGAATATAAGAAAAAATTGAATAATTATTTTTTAATGTAATGACTAAAATATTTTAATTGTTAAAATAAATAAATTAAGTAAAATGATAATTATAATATAATTGAATATAAAAATATTAATATATTAATAAAATAATTTATTAAATTACTAAAATATTTTTAACAAAAATTTTAATAAAAATATAAATAATTTTTTTTATAAAAAACAATTAATTTTAAAGTAATAATTTAAAAATTAAGTATAAAAGTTGTTTTAAGTACAAATTAAAAAAAGTTAAAATATAATTAAAAAAATATAATAAAAAATAAAATCAATAACATTATTAAAAAATCGATTTTATTTAAATATAATTTTAATTTTATTATAATACAAATTTATAAAATCAGGTATGACTATAATATTATATATTATTAATATTAATTCATATGAAAAATATAATAATTTTTTTTTCTTATAATCTATTATTAATATTTATATAATTGCTTACTGAGGTTTGTATAATCGATTATTTATACTATATAATTGATTATACAAACACTAGAAAAGATTACAGGTGAAATGACAGGCTTGGACTGATAGAGACACTAG